AAAAAACATGAATCATAAAAATGGCGATCAATGAATAAAAATCTAGAAGAATCACAACGAAAATAAAATGAAATAAACCAAAAATAAGAAAAAAATAATATAAAAAAATATGAAAAAAAGAAGGGGAAATTAGACATACCTGAAGGGGAAATTAGGACGGCAAGTATGGCGAAAGAAGGTTTTCAAGGGGGTGACTGAGGGGGGATTTTATAGGGGACGCGGAGAGTTAATGGCCGTTGAAAAATGTGGATTTTTTTTTTTAATATATTTTTTTGGGGGTTAAAATTGAAAATATTGGGATGAGCAAGAGCGAGTGCCGACGGGGGTGGGTGTAATAGTTGGCTGCAACGTGCCCTTTACCTTGTAAATATGAAACTTCTTGTGAGTTGTACAGGAAATTGCAAATTTGGTCCCGTTAGATTGAGACGGTTTTACTTTTAGTTCCAAGAGGCACATTTTCAATCCTTAACTAATGTTTGTTTCGCATTTGGTCCCAAATTCAGTCTTTAATTAATTTTTGTTCCGCATTTGGTCCCAAAATTTAACGGACCGTGAAGTCACCGTTAACCCTCAAGACTAAAATTGCGACCGTGGGACTAAAATTGGACCTTCCCAATTTAACGGGACCAAATTTGTAGTAGTTGATATTATTTTCATTTTTGTTTTTATTTTTTAAATTTTATTAAACTCTATAGTTATATTTTTTTTTTTTTATCAACCATTATAATTATAATAAAATTAAATGACGATTTTTTAAATATATGCAATACTTAATTAAAATATTTGAAATATAGAAAGCATTGTATTGCAATTAAATTTTTTAATACATTAATGATAATATAAATTTAAATTTATTTCAATTTATATATATATCAAATATATTTAAGTTTATATTTTTGTTATATTAAAAATTATATAAATATTTATTAACGTATTTAAATATATATATATATATATATATATATATACACACACACACAATAGATCAGTCTGATCAACCAATTCTGACTGGTTCATTAGAAACCAGTTTGTTCAAATGAATCCAACTTTTTGACCGATTCTAGATTCAACAGTCAGTTTAACCCAATTTTAAAAATAATAGTAGTTGATATTATTTTTATTTTTATTTTTATTTTACGTTTTAAATTTTTATTAACCTCTACAATTGTATTTTTTTTATCAACCAATATATCTATAATTAAATTAAAACTTATTTGTAAATATATTTATTATTTAATTAAAAATATTTTAAATACAAAAAAAAATAATAATATAAATTTAAATATATTTGAATTTATATATATCAAATATATTTAAATTTATATTTTTGTTATATTAAAAAATATAAATATTTATTAACTTATCAAAAAATATATATTATTGACCAATCCATTCAACTAATTCTAATCGGTTCATGTTTGGCTGAGTTTTCAAACCAATAATATTTTATATTACTTTTATTTTTATTTTTATTTAAAAATTTTGTTAACCCCTACAGTTCTATATTTCTAATAAAATAAAATAATAATTTTTAAATATATTTATTATTTAGTAAAAGTTAATTTTAAATATAGAAAACATTGTATAGTTATTATTTTTATTTTTTTTGGTCTCGAAACTAAATTTTTACTATCACTGATTGTTTTATACTCACGGGATAAAAAATTACAATAAAAAAAGTAATAAAACTGAAGAAATTGCAAATTTGGTCCCGTTAGATTGGGACGGTCCAATTTTAGTCTCACGGTCGCAATTTTAGTCTTGAGGATTAACGGTGACTTCACGGTCCGTTGAATTTGGGACCAAATGCAGAACAAACATTGGTTAAAGACTAAAAATGTGCCTATTGGGACTAAAAATGAAACCGTCCCAATCTAACGGGACCAAATTTACAATTTCCTCTGAGTTGTGACTTGTGAGTGAACATATCTTCACATTATCACTATTATTTTTTTATTTTTTTAATTCTTTATGGTTTTTGTAAGAAAATTGATTTTAACATTAATCGAAAATATTACTCCCTCCTATTTTTTATAAATGTCATTCTAGTTTTATCAACTATTTGCTAAATAAATGTCGTTTTAGATCTTTTGTACATATTTTTTCATTATTACCCTCATTTAGACAATAAATACATTACGTCTTTTCATATTCACTTTTTACTTTTTCTCAAAACATTCATCTCTATCTTCATTAAATAAGGTTATTATTGATAAAAAAATATTCTTAATTAGTGTGCAACTTTTCAAAACGACAAATATTAAAAATAGGAGGTAGTATTTATTTACTATATTTGTGGTTCTTCAAATATGCAACATCTATAATTATATAAAAAGTCATCATATTTATTAAAATTAGTAGGAAGAAAAGTCAACTCATAATTAATTGCACACCATATTTAGAAAGTTTTTAGATTTTTTAAATCATAAAATAGGGTAGCATTAAATGCCCCTAAAATTATGGGTTTTGTTGAATTCATTTTTATTAAATCTGCATCCAAATTTATGTGCGGTTTTGAAGTAAAAATTTAAAATTCAAAATCTCTTCTCATTTAGTTACAAGAAAATCGGGGTGCATTCAACACTTGGACCAATTTAAAAATTATTCCTTAAGTGAAGGAATTTATAGATAATGTTATCTCTACTCAATCACATGATTATTTTCAATATAAAAAGAGATAGATTACAAGTTAGTGAATCATATATTACCTAATTCAATATCTTAACATTAAGGAATAAGTTCATAATATTATGTAAATCCGTATCCCATATAATTATACCATTACGAATATATATTATAGTTATATTACCAAAGCATAAAAAGATATTAGATTCATAATGTAAAAAAAATAAAAAAAATTTCATATAATTTTATAACAATTCTACTACACTATTTGACATTATTCATTTTTATTATATAATAAAATAATAATTAAATATTATATAGTGAACAAGAATAAGTAAAACTGTTACTTTTCTCTTATATCAAGGGATAAATTTACATGCTAAAATTAATTTTTTATTAATATAAATATTTTAGTGAGATAATATATTAATTATGTTACAAAACTAGCACTAACATGCTCATATTTAATGTCCTGGCTAAAAAAACAACGCTGGTAAAAAGATGTGGAAAAAAGCTTATAACCCTATTGTTTTTTAGACTTAACTTTGATTAAAAGAGGTAGAAAAGAAAGAATAACCCTATTACTTTTTAAACTTAAACGGACAAGACTGTGAAAATAACTCATGTAATATCTTTGTTTCGTGCATCGCACGGGGTACGTACTAGTGGGATTAATGCGTGAAGAAAATAGAATATTTTATTATCTCAACTTTCCATATCTTAGATATTGTTGTATTGTATACTTAGAAATTTAGAATTATTTGTTTTCCTTTAGCTTGTAGGTAACGGATATTAGATTCATTTAGAAGATTTTATATATATTTTATTTTCTTAGTTTTGATATTTTCTTACTATATGTTATGAGATGTATTTAATTGTCTTTTTTTACTTGTAGAAATGAAGAGCAATGATGATAAAAGAAAGATATTCTTGTGAGATTTGAGAGCTTAATCGTGAGGAAAAAACTGGGAAAATCGAGCAACGGAGTAAATAAATCGGGCAATAAGATATTTTCAAAAGTTTGTATTGAAGCAAGGAAAGAAAATCCACAAGATTGAAAAGATAGAGTGTTGTAGCACAAATTATTCTTTTTATCGAGTACCGAATCAAAAGATTCGTTCCCCGGGTCGATCTCACGAGGAAGGCGGTTCGGAACTTAGCTTTGGCATTGATAACACATAAAAAGAAAATAAATCCTAAACACTCTAATCAAATAAAGATTGGATGAATTATAAGCTACGAAGTAAATAACAATGCAAAAATGTAAATCTATCTAAGAATATGAATGAAACGAAGATGGAGAAGCTAGGGAATCGGGGATAATTAATTCAAGTTTTAGCAAATTCGGGCTATCAATTATTCAGTTCGAAATTGACACTCTCGCTTATGCATCTAGCGGTTCGCTCCCAATAACTCTTCGTAACAAGGGATTGAACATAGACGAATAAGCTCAAGCATACAAAACAGGCCAATGATCCCAGTCCCAATAACTATTCGTAACAAGGGACGAGTCATCGACAAGCTCGTATTTCAATTTAAAACGCATAGATTATTCAATTAAGAAATCATCTACCTCATGTGAGCCTATTTCTACGACTTCTCCCCTTTCGGTTCAGAAAGCCGCTAAGTCAATTAGAAGGTGTTTAATCAACTAATCATATAGACTTGACAAACCCTAACTCGACAAATTAATATCCAACTGTCACCAATAGCAAGATCAAAATGTCACTTTTCGATTATATCAATCAGTCAAGCAGGATTACATCAATTCTTAATCAAATTAACCCACACAAGAATGAACAATTCAAGCCCGAGAGATACGAATTAAACAAGAACAATCATCTCCTATCCCTAGCAATTGGAATTAGCTATTCATAACAAATCCAACACAAACAAG